AAAAAAAAAAGAGAATAGACGAAAACAACAGTTGAAACAGTTGAACCTAAATGCAGATCTTCATTTCATTAAAAAAAGATATCGGCTTCAAAATCTTTCTTCTTTCTTCTTCATTCACTTCTCCCCTTCTATTATGCATAAAATTTGTAAAAATACCTCAAAAACCGAGATGAAATCAAAGATTGTTCCTAAAGTTCAACAGACTCAAATAGCACCTAGATCATCTTTATTAGCTGCAGCAACTAAAATACTATCAATAAGTAACCATTAACTGCTCCATCTCAATCTGGCAAAGCCTTTGAGATAACCAGCACCAGTCAACGACGTCAATCTGCAAGCAGTTTAGTCTCAAAAAACAGCAGAAACAGGAAACAGAAATGGTACTGATCCAACAATGACTTTTGGACAATGTTCCCAACCTCTATACACGTCAGTTTCATAATAATCACTCAAACATCTGTAGAACTTTTTACTCAAGAATCATGCACTCAAATGTTTACATTTCTATGTACGCGTAGGTGTCTGTCTGTATGTGAATGTATGTACAGTTGCAGTCTCGTTTCTAGATAACTAATACATTAATAATATGATGTATAGACTGTCAGGTAGTGAAAATCAAAAATTTCAAAAGTTCACGAGTATTTTATTTTGTATCGATACTAATTTAGTTTTCATGTCACAAAAAAAAAAACAATAGATTGTAGAACATGTTGTAAAATCAACACGTAAGTAGTATAAACCAATATAATCAAAAAAAGGAATAAATAAAAAAGAAAAAAATCATACCAAAAGCGTTCACAATCAACAACTTTAAAGTAACACACACACAAAGAAAGAAACAAGAAATGAATAAAATTGACGGAAAAAATAGTTATTTTCTACACTCCTCTATCTAACAGTTCTCACAAACCCGCAGTTCTCCCTAATAAGCTCGTAGCAACAAATATAAATTTCTTCTTCTTCAACCTTTATTTTCTGTCATTATTTAACTCACCTAGTTTGTTTTTTGTTGTTCAAAATCCAAATGAAAAAAGATGAAAAGAAATAAATAAATAAACAATAAAAACAAAAACAACAAAAAAAGGAGACATCAAAAGACAGGTATTTTGAATCAATGCCTAACTGCTTCCAAGTTTGAAAGCGTAAATCGAAATGACAATAAGTATAGATAAATATATGTATAAACATATGTATATATGTAATCACTAACCAAGATTTGTCGACAGAATTTTGAATTGACAGCTTGTGCTTTATATATACACATCCGACCAATTATATTATTACATCTACACATAAAGCACAAACTATGCTTGAGAATCAGAAAGCTGGAGTAGTGAAAGAGCTGGGGAATGAGAACAATCAGTGACACTAGCGGTAGAAGCCGATGAAAATGACGACTTCCTTCCAAAATTACCTTGAGATTCTTCCGTCCAATCATCAGCAATACCACCACCTTTACATTTGTCATGCAAAATCCTTCCTGACACTGGAGGTGATGTATTGTTATTACTACCCGTTATGCTACTTCTTCTAGGCACATATACTACGGGGTTTGGCATAGCTTTTTGCTTCCCATGACATAAACAAGGCGGCCAACGAGAATGCGAGGAGAAACAGCCATTTTCCAATTTCCGACAATCATAGCTTGGACTGGCCACCAACAGGCTTTTATCCGACCAAAAATACATTTGCCCCGGTCGATGTAGCGGATTTCCACCCTCGGAGAAAGCAAAATCCAACGACTGGTCAACTTCAACCCCTTTGGATACCGAGAAACACGTAAATGAGGCCGCCGAATCAAAGGGATTGCAATTTGGTGGTGGTGAACCATCGTCCTTTGCAAATAATTGACACTGTAACAGTTCAAGGTTAAAAAAATAAATTTTTCTTGCTAAGTTCAAAAAACAGCTGCAAAAAAAGCTATGTAATTTTTGGAACTTAGAGAATAAATTGACTGATAAGAAAAAAAATGAGGTCCAAATGTACACCAAGAAAAATGAAGAAAAGAAGCGCAAAAAATAACCGATCTATCAATACAATAAACAAGTAAAAAGTGAACAGAAAATTAAGAAAATTACGTTTTTCGGCAGCATTAGTTCACCATCAGGAAGATAAATTGTCGATGGATAGACAACACAGTCATCGGAACTGCAGCCCGCTCGCTGAAAATCGAAAAATCTCGACTTCATCATCTTTGGGGTGCGAGTCTCCGAGTTGGGCTTGCAGTTTCCAGATGCGCCGTCATTGACTTCGAAGTCTTCTTTTACAACTCGACCTTTATTGTTTACCTTCTTCTGACAGTGTGGCATATAGTGATGAACAACGTCTAAGAAGCGAGAATACGTTGCCACACCTTTGACGCCTAATTTGACGGCGAAGCAATTCAGTTTTGCCCTAAACATCATGGAGCAGTTAAGAACGACAGCAAGAACAACAATAACAAAAACAACAATAATAACGATGACAAACATGCACCGGACAAAGTTTGACGATCATCAAGAAATTACCACAATAAAAGACGTAAATAAAATCACAAATTGTATATAGTGCATAATGTTTTTTTTTCCTTTTGACAAAAATTCTCTGCAGTACTTTTTTTCTTAAAACTTTTTTTTAAACAGAAAAAGAAACTAGCAAATAAAGAGACCCAAAAAAAAGCATCTCTCAATCGCACATTTAGAGAGCAGACTGAAGTGATCTTATTTTCCAGGAAACAAAAACCGATATTATCTGATCTAAACAAGACAAGTAAAAAAAGCCTTCTGTTCTGTTTCGACAACCAGCTTCATTCTTTTCATATAATTAGTTTCGCAGACTGTGTTTTGCCCCGACCCAAACACAGTGCTGATGGACAGAACAAGAATCACTTCTCCCTTCCCCCTCCTCCCTTCCTCCCCTTTATTCCCTCGCCCCCCCTCCCCCTTTGCCCCCACCGACCTTAGCGAGCGAGCCAACCGCACCGACGTACAGACAGACGGACAGACAGGCAGACAGACTGCTAGACAGACAGAGGCAATGAGAAATGAAGGTGCAAAAAAATTAAAGGAGTAAACAAATAAAACACATCAATTAATAAATAGATAAATAAATAAACAAATAATAATAAATAAATAAGTGTAAATAAATAAAAAGTAAAAATATAAATAGTAAAAAATTAATATAAATTTAAAAGCACAATTATATAAAATGACTATAAATATGAATATAAATATACATTTTTTTTTTACTCATTTATTTATTTATATAAACAGTAGTCTACTCTTTTTAAATACGTGTTAAAAAACCATCATCATCATCATCATCATCATCGACGTCGTCGTCGACGACGTCGTCGTTGTTGTTGTTGTTGTTGTCATCAACTCATCTGTTTACAGCGACGTCCACGCTTGTTTTCAGTAATTAAATTTTGACGATGTTCAAAACAACAAATACAC